AGAAGTTACGATTGCTCATGACGACAAAATATCCCAAAAGATTCCTGTAAAGCTGACATATACTATCGTGTAACAAATGTTTAGTTGGTGACTCTCTGAAACAGTAGATTTAACTTGTTACAATTGGGCAATATGAAATTAAGAAAATTGTAGCAGGAAAGGGTCCTCAAGACTCTGCTATTTGTTGTACGACCACCAATCTTTCCTCTGATTCTTTTAAAGTAAAAACATTTTAGGCTGCCACTGCTCTAATACTCTTTCAACTGCCTGGTGGAATGATAACCAGCTGGTCTGATTAACATGCAGAACTTTGTGTGGTTTGACAGTACAGAATGATTAAATTCTTTAATTCATGTTGTCGGTTAGCACTATGGAAAAATAGGTATATGTCTGATCATGTCTTCACAACGCCGTGGTAGCGCCTTGCAGCTTCTGAGGCGCATAAGTGAATAGAATGACAACATTTCAATACCAGGAATAGTGATATGCAGTCTGCTGCTTAACAGAATTGTGTTCTCCCATAATGTTACTAGCGCCATCAAAAGCCAATCAGGTTCTCATGTGGAATTCGGTGTTTCTAATGTTTTATTAAATTATACAACTTTTCCTGTTGACCCTGTAGATGATTCATCACCATATACATTGATCATCTCTAATAAACCCAGATTTAATGCTGTTTTTGGTTGAATCCCAAAATCTTACAAGAACAGAGAGGATGCTTTCATCGTACTAATGTCTGTTGTTTCGTCAACAATAATGGACAATTTACTTTCTCTAAGTTTATCTACTAAATCCTCGGTGACACACCATCCTAACGTCCTCCCAACCTCTGTGGATTTTGTTCTTTTCTTGTTCATGCCTTGAGCAATTGCAGAATCAGGAAACATCCTCTCTACGAGGCTCTACTAAATGATCTACAGTGGTAAATGGCAAGTTGTGCTCGGCTATAAAGCAAGCAAAAAGAATTGTTGCTAATGTATATCCATTTGCTGCATAGTTCCCATGGTGGACCGGATCCTCCTGCTGGACCTTCTGTTGTTCCGAGGCCTCATAAACTGAATGCATCTTTGTCGTTTAGTGACGTTTGATGGCTGTCGACTCTGCCCTCACTTCCCTCTTGCATATTTTGCAAAAAGGCCCTAGATGGATTGTCTTCAACACGGACAACCAGGGCTAGAAATCTTCATTGTTCAGCCATGCATCTCTGAGGCTCCGCTTCGCAGCCATCACCACCCGCAAGAGGAGATTTGATCAACTCTTTGTGTAGTCTCCCTGCAAACCCAAGAATAACTAAATCAGTGAATAATTGCCATGATCGTCTAGGCTACTTGCATAGTCCTTTATAAGTGAAGGAAAATAATGTATATTTCCCTTTGAAAAATAAAAGCAAACAAATGAACAGGGTGTAAAGATTTCATTTATCTAATCATTTCTGTTGATACACTGATAAAAGAAAACGGTTAAGGTGTAAGTAACCGCTACATAGGTGATGAAAGCTGTGATTAATTACATGCCAATTACATAAATAAATATATCCTTACCGGCTTGTAGATAGAGTTCCTGTGAGTACGTCTAGCTGATGATGAGAACTCTACCATATCCAACAATGACGAACAAGGGGGTTTCCACAGCAATCGAGGGTCCCATGTTGACTTTCCACGCCATTTATTACCCACAATCCATTTATACTATACATTATCTGTTGATATTTACTAAAGGAGTTGATAAAAAGTCATATATATTACTGAAGAAAAAATTATTAAATCCTTACATTTTATATGCATTTTGAACAATGAGGAATATATTCCTCATGGCATCTCTGGACGAATGTGGACGGCCTCCTCATGACGTCACCAACTGTCATATGTTTTCCTCGTTAGCAGACGATATTCTCAAAACGGCAGCCCTGAATGTGCCGCGGCAGTGCTCCCCACAGGGTTGCAAGACGAAAGATGTACGACAAGCTTCACGGCCAATCTCACTATCTCACGGCCAAAACGCTCGAAATTGGCCGAAAGTTTTGGATGGGAAGCATGTGGGCATGCTATTTGGTTCACACTCAGGATGGATGGAGAAAGGAAACCCACAATGTGCTCTCTGTATACATGTTGTATTGATGTACAATGCAGCTGGTGCTGGGAAGTGGCAGCATGGTTACAAGCTTGATGTAGAGAGAGCTGGTTGGTGAGGGTGCTCAGAGGAGAACAGCTTGTGGGTCGCCTTGCTCGCCGGCGGAGCGAGGCTGCCAGGCAGCGGCTCTGCGGGCACTAAAGCCACTGGGAGGGCCCCTGGACGGCACCTGTGGGCACCCCTGCCCCTGTGGAGGGTTCGTGGAGTCGCCGTCGCCCTAGAGAGGGCCCCTGGGCTGACCACCCAGGGTGAGCCCCTGATATCGCCGCCGCCCATAGTAGGCCTTACCTGGGGAACCGCCGCCTTGAAAGGTCCCTAGGAGTCCACCACTTGGCAGGGCCCCTTGGGGCGCGCTGCCCCCCTGCAAGGAACCCTGATTAACCGAGGTCCCTGGGAGGGTCCATGAGGCCACCACCGCCCATGCGAGACCCCTAGTTGGGTGCGTCGCTTCACCTGGGAGGGCCATTGAGTCGCCTTTGCCACAGGAGGTCTCCTAGGGGTTTGCAGCCCGGTAGGGCTCCTAAAGTCGTCACCGACCCTGAGAGAGCCCCTCGCCACAGCCTGTGCAGTCGTGGCAGCCCTTGACCCGGCCCCTGGGGTCACTGTCTCTAGGGCCCTTGAGCACATGTTTTTTTTTCATTATTTAGAACAATGGAAGATATGACGTTAAATAACCGCTGTCCATCGCATTTCCAGTATCATCGCCTTATGAACAATGTAAAGAGAATAAATATCCAACAGGAAAACATAAGTTGGGGTGTTGTGCTGACTGACTGCTCTGTTCTTCCTATTGGCTGTAATATATGAACAATGTAAAGAATAAACTCCAACAGGAAAACATAAGTTGGGGTGTTGTGCTGACTATTTCTCTGTTCTCCTATTGGCTGTAATATGGTGGGTAAACATTCTAGTCCACCAATCACAGTTAAGCGAGGGATTGCTGGACAGAACAATGGGAGATATGACGTTAAATAACTCACCACCCATAGCATTTCCAGTATCATCGCCTCATGAACAGTAAAGGAGAATAAATATCCAACAGGAAAACATAAGTTGGGGTGTTGTGCTGACTGACTGCTCTGTTCTCCTATTGGCTATAATATGGTGGGTAAACATTCTAGTCCACCAATCACAGTTAAGCGAGGGATTGCTGGACAGAACAATGGGAGATATGACGTTAAATAACTCACCACCCATAGCATTTCCAGCATCATCGCCTCATGAACAGTAAAGGAGAATAAATATCCAACAGGAAAACATAAGTTGGGGTGTTGTGCTGACTGACTGCTCTGTTCCCCTATTGGCTGTAATTTGGTGGGTAAGCATTCTAGTCCACCAATCACAGTAAAGTAAGGGATTGCTGGACGTATGCAATACAGTATGTACAACACCACGACCAAGCAAGTTATTTGGCTTAAGGGAAGGGGCGCCCCTGGTAGGGCCCCGGGGGATCCCCTTCTAGGGCCCCTTGGGTCATCACTACCCCTGGGATGGCCCCTGTGGCGCAACCACACCTGCCTATACCCCTGTGGTCGCCGGTGCCTCATGGAGGGCTCTTGGGGCACTACAACCACTGGGAGGGCCCCTGGGACGACCACGGTAGGTACCCCGCCCCTGCGAGGGTCCCTGGAGTCGCCATCACCCTAGAGAGGGCCCCTGGGGTCGCCACCGACCCAGGGTGAGCCCCTGATATCGCCGCTGCCCATAGTAGCTTACCTGGTGGACCGCTGCCCCTGGAAAGGTCCCTAGGGGTTCCACCACTCCTGGCAGGGCCCCTGGTGGCGCCGCCGCCCCTGCAAGGAACCCTGGATTAACCGAGGTCCCTGGGAGGGCCCATGAGGCCACCACCGCCCATGCGAAGGCCCCTAGGTGCGTCGCTTCACCTGGGAGGGCCATTGGAGTCGCCGTTGCCACAGGGAGGTCTCCTAGGGGTGTTGCAGCCCCTGGTGCGGCTCCTCAAGTCTTCATCGCCCCTGAGAGAGCCCCTGGGGTCGGTACAGCCGCTGCAGTTGCTATTGCCCTTGACCTGCCCACTGGGGTCCCTGTCTCTGTAGGGCCCTTGAGGCAAATTTTTTTTTTTTCATTATTTAGAACAATGGGAGATATGACGTTAAATAACTCGCTGTCCATCGCATTTCCAGTATCATCATCGCCTTATGAACAATGTAAAGAGAATAAATATCCAACAGGAAAACATAAGTTGGGGTGTTGTGCTGACTGACTGCTCTGTTCTCCTATTGGCTGTAATATGGTGGGTAAACATTCTAGTCCACCAATCACAGTTAAGCAAGGGATTGCTGGACAGAACAATGGGAGATATGACGAAAAATAACTCACCACCCATCGCATTTCCAGTATCAACCCCTCATGAACAATGTAAAGGAGAATAAATATCCAACAGGAAAACATAAGTTGAGATTGACCCTTCTTTGACTGGCTCTCCTGTTCCCCTGTGGCTGCAATTTGTGGTGGAGTAGCATTCTAGTCCTGTCACAGTTAAATAAGGAATTGCTGGACATTATGTACAATACAGTATGTATACCGACCAAACTCAGATTATTTGGCTTAAGGAAGGCGCCTGGTAGACTCCAGGGATCCTTCTAATTTGCTGGGTCATCACTACCCTAGGATGGCCCTGTGGCGCCACCACCTCCTGCCTATATACCCTGTGGTCGCCGTTGCCTCTTGGAGGCTCTTGGGCTTCCCAGCCACTGGGGCCCTGGGACGACACAGTAGTGCCCCGCCCCTGCGAGGCATCCTGAGTCGCCATCACCCTAGAGGGCCTGGGGTCGCCAGCGGCCAGGGTGAGCCCCTAATCTGCCGCCGCCCATAGTAGCTTACCTGGTGGACGCTGCCCCTGGAAAGGTCTAGGGGTTCCACCACTCTGGCAGGGCCCCTGGTGGCGCTGCCGCCCTTGGAACCTGGATTAACCCGAGATCCTGGGAGGGCCCATGGAGCCACCACCACCGCCCACAGGGGCCCCTAGGTGCGTCGCCTTCACCTCAGGAGGGCCATTGGAGTCCTTGGGTGCCACAGGAGAGTCTCTGGGGTGGTACTTTGGGAATCCTAGTGCGGCTCCTGAGTCGTCACGCCTAGAGAGCCTGGGGTGGTACAGCCACTGCGGTGCTGTGCCTTGACCCACCTTGTCACTGGGGTCTGTCTGCAGTTGTAGACAAATGTTTTTTTTCATTATTTATTTAGAACAATGGGAGATATGACGTTAAATAACTCACTGTCCATCGCATTTCCAGTATCATCGCCTCATGAATAGTAAAGGAGAATAAATATCCAACAGGAAAACATAAGTTGGGGTGTTGTGCTGACTGACTGCTCTGTTCCCCTATTGGCTGTAATTTGGTGGGTAAACATTCTAGTCCACCAATCACAGTTAAGCGAGGGATTGCTGGACAGAACAATGGGAGATATGACGTTAAATAACTCACCACCCATCGCATTTCCAGTATCATCGCCTCATGAACAGTAAAGGAGAATAAATATCCAACAGGAAAACATAAGTTGGGGTGTTGTGCTGACTGACTGCTCTGTTCCCTATTGGCTGTAATTTGGTGGGTAAACATTCTAGTCCACCAATCACAGTTAAGCGAGGGATTGCTGGACAGAACAATGGGAGATATGACGTTAAATAACTCACCACCCATAGCATTTCCAGTATCATCGCCTCATGAACAGTAAAGGAGAATAAATATCCAACAGGAAAACATAAGTTGGGGTGTTGTGCTGACTGACTGCTCTGTTCCCTTATTGGCTGTAATTTGGTGGGTAAACATTCTAGTCCACCAATCACAGTTAAGCGAGGGATTGCTGGACAGAACAATGGGAGATATGACGTTAAATAACTCACCACCCATAGCATTTCCAGTATCATCGCCTCATGAACAGTAAAGGAGAATAAATATCCAACAGGAAAACATAAGTTGGGGTGTTGTGCTGACTGACTGCTCTGTTCCCTATTGGCTGTAATTTGGTGGGTAAACATTCTAGTCCACCAATCACAGTTAAGCGAGGGATTGCTGGACAGAACAATGGGAGATATGACGTTAAATAACTCACTGTCCATCGCATTTCCAGTATCATCGCCTCATGAACAGTAAAGGAGAATAAATATCCAACAGGAAAACATAAGTTGGGGTGTTGTGCTGACTGACTGCTCTGTTCCCCTATTGGCTGTAATTTGGTGGGTAAGCATTCTAGTCCACCAATCACAGTAAAGTAAGGGATTGCTGGACGTATGCAATACAGTATGTACAACACCACGACCAAGCAAGTTATTTGGCTTAAGGGAAGGGGCGCCCCTGGTAGGGCCCCGGGGGATCCCCTTCTAGGGCCCCTTGGGTCATCACTACCCCTGGGATGGCCCCTGTGGCGCAACCACACCTGCCTATACCCCTGTGGTCGCCGGTGCCTCATGGAGGGCTCTTGGGGCACTACAACCACTGGGAGGGCCCCTAGGACGACCACGGTAGGTACCCCGCCCCTGCGAGGGTCCCTGGAGTCGCCATCACCCTAGAGAGGGCCCCTGGGGTCGCCACCGACCCAGGGTGAGCCCCTGATATCGCCGCTGCCCATAGTAGCTTACCTGGTGGACCGCTGCCCCTGGAAAGGTCCCTAGGGGTTCCACCACTCCTGGCAGGGCCCCTGGTGGCGCCGCCGCCCCTGCAAGGAACCCTGGATTAACCGAGGTCCCTGGGAGGGCCCATGAGGCCACCACCGCCCATGCGAGGGCCCCTATGTGCGTCGCTTCACCTGGGAGGGCCATTGGAGTAGCCGTTGCCACAGGGAGGTCTCCTAGGGGTGTTGCAGCCCCTGGTGCGGCTCCTGAAGTCTTCACCGCCCCTGAGAGAGCCCCTGGGGTCGGTACAGCCGCTGCAGTTGCTATTGCCCTTGACCTGCCCACTGGGGTCCCTGTCTCTGTAGGGCCCTTGAGGCAAATGTTTTTTTTTTTTTCATTATTTAGAACAATGGGAGATATGACGTTAAATAACTCGCTGTCCATCGCATTTCCAGTATCATCGCCTTATGAACAATGTAAAGAGAATAAATATCCAACAGGAAAACATAAGTTGGGGTGTTGTGCTGACTGACTGCTCTGTTCTCCTATTGGCTGTAATATGGTGGGTAAACATTCTAGTCCACCAATCACAGTTAAGCGAGGGATTGCTGGACAGAACAATGGGAGATATGACGTTAAATAACTCACTGTCCATCGCATTTCCAGTATCATCGCCTCATGAACAGTAAAGGAGAATAAATATCCAACAGGAAAACATAAGTTGGGGTGTTGTGCTGACTGACTGCTCTGTTCCCCTATTGGCTGTAATTTGGTGGGTAAACATTCTAGTCCACCAATCACAGTTAAGCGAGGGATTGCTGGAAGAACAATGGGAGATATGACGTTAAATAACTCACCACCCATCGCATTTCCAGTATCATCGCCTCATGAACAGTAAAGGAGAATAAATATCCAACAGGAAAACATAAGTTGGGGTGTTGTGCTGACTGACTGCTCTGTTCCCTTATTGGCTGTAATTTGGTGGGTAAACATTCTAGTCCACCAATCACAGTTAAGCGAGGGATTGCTGGACAGAACAATGGGAGATATGACGTTAAATAACTCACCACCCATAGCATTTCCAGTATCATCGCCTCATGAACAGTAAAGGAGAATAAATACTCAACAGGAAAACACAAGTTGGGGTGTTGTGCTGACTGACTGCTCTGTTCCCCTATTGGCTGTAATTTGGTGGGTAAGCATTCTAGTCCACCAATCACAGTAAAGTAAGGGATTGCTGGACAGAACAATGGGAGATATGACGTTAAATAACTCACTGTCCATCGCATTTCCAGTATCATCGCCTCATGAACAGTAAAGGAGAATAAATATCCAACAGGAAAACATAAGTTGGGGTGTTGTGCTGACTGACTGCTCTGTTCCCCTATTGGCTGTAATTTGGTGGGTAAACATTCTAGTCCACCAATCACAGTTAAGCGAGGGATTGCTGGACAGAACAATGGGAGATATGACGTTAAATAACTCACTGTCCATCGCATTTCCAGTATCATCGCCTCATGAACAGTAAAGGAGAATAAATATCCAACAGGAAAACATAAGTTGGGGTGTTGTGCTGACTGACTGCTCTGTTCCCCTATTGGCTGTAATTTGGTGGTAAGCATTTAGTCCACCAATCACAGTAAAGTAAGGGATTGCTGGACGTATGCAATACAGTATGTACAACACCACGACCAAGCAAGTTATTTGGCTTAAGGGAAGGGGCGCCCCTGGTAGGGCCCCGGGGGATCCCCTTCTAGGGCCCCTTGGGTCATCACTACCCCTGGGATGGCCCCAGTGGCACAACCACACCTGCCTATACTCCTGTGGTCGCCGGTGCCTCATGGAGGGCTCTTGGGGGCACTACAACCACTGGGAGGGCCCCTGGGACGACCACGGTAGGTACCCCGCCCCTGCGAGGGTCCCTGGAGTCGCCATCACCCTAGAGAGGGCCCCTGGGGTCGCCACCGACCCAGGGTGAGCCCCTGATATCGCCGCTGCCCATAGTAGCTTACCTGGTGGACCGCTGCCCCTGGAAAGGTCCCTAGGGGTTCCACCACTCCTGGCAGGGCCCCTGGTGGCGCCGCCGCCCCTGCAAGGAACCCTGGATTAACCGAGGTCCCTGGGAGGGCCCATGAGGCCACCACCGCCCATGCGAAGGCCCCTAGGTGCGTCGCTTCACCTGGGAGGGCCATTGGAGTCGCCGTTGCCACAGGGAGGTCTCCTAGGGGTGTTGCAGCCCCTGGTGCGGCTCCTGAAGTCTTCACCGCCCCTGAGAGAGCCCCTGGGGTCGGTACAGCCGCTGCAGTTGCTATTGCCCTTGACCTGCCCACTGGGGTCCCTGTCTCTGTAGGGCCCTTGAGGCAAATGTTTTTTTTTTTCATTATTTAGAACAATGGGAGATATGACGTTAAATAACTCGCTGTCCATCGCATTTCCAGTATCATCGCCTTATGAACAATGTAAAGGAGAATAAATATCCAACAGGAAAACATAAGTTGGGGTGTTGTGCTGACTGACTGCTCTGTTCTCCTATTGGCTGTAATATGGTGGGTAAACATTCTAGTCCACCAATCACAGTTAAGCGAGGGATTGCTGGACAGAACAATGGGAGATATGACGTTAAATAACTCACTGTCCATCGCATTTCCAGTATCATCGCCTCATGAACAGTAAAGGAGAATAAATATCCAACAGGAAAACATAAGTTGGGGTGTTGTGCTGACTGACTGCTCTGTTCCCCTATTGGCTGTAATTTGGTGGGTAAGCATTCTAGTCCACCAATCACAGTTAAGTAAGGGATTATGGACAGAACAATGGGGAGATGTAATGATTAAATCTTTCCACCATCCCCGCATTTCAGTATATCATCGCCTCATGAACAGTAAAGGAGAATAAATATCCAACAGGAAAACATAAGTTGGGGTGTTATGCTGACTGTTCTCCTGTTCATATTATGGCTGTAATTTGGTGGGTAAACATTCTAGATCCACCAATCACAGTTAATGAGGATGCTGGATTAGACTGTGAGATATGGCGTTAAATAACTCACCACCCATAGCATTTAGTATCATCGCCTCATGAACAGTAAAATAAATATCAACAGGAAAACATAAAGTTAGAGATTATTTGTTGCTGACTGACTATCTGTTCCCCTATTGGCTGTAATTTGGTGGTGTATTCTAGTCACCAATCACAGTAAAGTAAAGGGATTGCTGGACAGAACAATGGGATATGACGTTAAATAACTCTGTCATCGCATTTCCAGTATCATCGCCTCATGAACAGTAAAGGAGAATAAATATCAACAGGAAAACATAAGTTGATTGTTGTGCTGACGTACTCTGTTCCCTATTGGCTGCAAATTTGGTGGAGTAAACATTCTAGTCCACCAATCCACAGTTAAGCGAGGATTATGGACAGAACAATGGGAGATATGACGTTAAATAACTCACTGTCCGCATAGCATTTCCAATATCATCGCCTCATGAACAGTAAAGGAGAATAAATATCAGCAGGGAAAACATAAGTTGAATTATTGTGCTGACTGGCTACTCTGTTTCAACCCGAAACAGCAATTTTGGTGGGTAAGCATTCTAGTCACAATTACAGTAAAATGAGATTACTGAATATGCAATACAGTATATACCTTACCACGACCAAGCAAGTTATTTGGCTTAAGGAAGGGGCGCCCTGGTAGGGCCAGGGGATCACTCTGAATTTATGGGGCATCACTACCTAGGATGGCCTGGCAAACAACCACACCTGCCTATGCCCCTGTGGTCCGCCCAGTGCCTCATGGAGGCTCTTGGGGCACTACAGCCCAGCCACTAGGAGGCCCTGGGACGACCACAGTAGGCTCACCCGCCCTGCGGGCGTCCACTGGAGTCGCCATGCCTAGAGAGGGCCCTGGGTCGCCACCGACCAGGGGTTGAGCCCTGACTCTCGCCCGCTGCCCACCAGTAAACACCTGGTGGACTGCCCTGGAAGGTCTCAAAATTTCCACCACTAGCAGGCCCCTGGTGGCCTTACCGCCGTAATACAAGGAACCTGGATTAGCCGAGGTCCTGGGAGGCCCGTGAAGGCCACCACCACTTACATCACGAGGGAGGCCCCTATGTGCGTCGATTCACCAGGGAGGGCATTGGAGTGCGCCGTTGCCACAGGGAGGTCTCCTAGGGGGTGTTGCCTGACCCCTGATGTGGCCTCCTAAGTCTTCCACCCTGAGAGAGCCCCTGGGGCCAGTGGCCCGCTTGGGGTGCTGGCTGCTTGTCAGCCTGCCACTGGGGTCCCTGTCTCTGTAGACCCTTGAAGCAAATGTTTTTTTTTTCATTATTTAGAAGACAATGGGAATGTGACATTGAAATAACTGCTTCTCGCCAGCATTTCAATATCATCGCCTTATGAACAATGTAAAGAATAAATATCCAACAGGAAGCATAAGTTGGGGTGTTGTGCTGACTGACTTCCTTTGTTCTCCTATTGGCTGTAATATGGTGGGTAAACATTCTGATCCCGCAATCTCACAGTTAAGCCGAGGTTAACTGGACAGAACAATGGGAAATATGGCGTTAAATAACTCACTGTCATAGCATTTCCAGTATCATGCGCCTCATGAATAGTAAGGAGAATAAATATCAACGACATAAGTTGGGGTGTTGGCGACTGACTGCTCTGTTCCCTATTGGCTGCCTTGGTGGTGGGTAAACTGTTCTGGTCCACCAATCACAGTTAAGCGAGGATTGCTGGACAGAACAATGGGGAGATATGGCGTTAAATAACTCACCCCGCCATTTCAATCATCGCCTCATAGACAGTAAAGGAGAATAAATATCAACAGGAAAGCATAAGTTGGTGTGTGCTGATATTTCTCTGTTCCCTTATTGGCTGTAATTTGGTCGATAAACATTCCTGGTCCACAATCACAGTTAAGCGAGGATTGCTGGACAGAACAATGGGAGATTATGACGTTAAATAACTCACCACCCATCGCATTTCAGTATCATCGCCTCACCAGACAATAAGGAGAATAAATATCAGCAGGAGAAACATAAGTTGGGGTGTTGTGCTTGTTGTTCTCTGTTTCCTTATTGGCTATGGTGGTGGAGTAAACATTCTAGTCCACCAATCACAGTTAAGCGAGGATTACTGGACAGAACAATGGGAATATGACAAATAACTCACCACCATAGCATTTCCAGTATCATCGCCTCACTTGAACAGTCAAAGGAGAATAAATATCAACAGGAAAACTATAGGTTGGGGTGTTGTGTGACGTTGCTCTGTTCCCCTATTGGCTGTAAT